CCCGGGACTCGTCTCCCCGGTGCTGGCAGGAAAGAGCCTCCTTCCTCACAGGCGGCTACGCCAGAGGGACATAAAGCAAAAAAGTCCATTCAACTGAGACTGTAAATCCACTAATGAATTCGTAGGTGAATACATGGATTTTTAAAACAAAGTGAACACAGTCATGGGTCACTGAATGGCAGGGACACGTTCTGAGGAACGCATCGGGGATTTCGCGGCTGCGTGAACATGGCCGAGCGCGCTCCCCAAGCCTCTGGGGTGGCCCAGGCGCTGCTCGTCCCCGCGCTGCACCGTGCAGGCATTGGCGATACCATGGTAACCACCTGTGTATCCAACACATCTAAACATAGAAAAGTACAGTGACAAAAGGATATAAAAGATAAAAAATCGGTGGGTACAGTGTGCATTGCTCCAACGACGCGTGCACTGAAGGGCTGGATTTCACCACGAGACGCTAGCTATATCGACGCAGCAAAATTGCACTTGTACTCCATGAATATAGACACATAAAAATAAATAAAACCTTTAAAATGTAATTAATTTAAAATAAAAAACTTTTAACCTTTTGATTCTTTCATAGTAATACTTAATTTTATGAAACACGTACAGCTGTACAAAAATATTTCATTTCTTTATATCCTTATTCTATAAGCTTTTTTCTATTTAAAAAAATGTTTAACTTTTTTGTTAAAAACTAAGACACAAACACACACATTAGCCTAGGCCCACGCAGGGTCAGGGTCATCAGTATCACTGTCTTCCACCTCCACATCTTGTCCCACTGGAAGGTCTTCAGGGGCAATAACAGGCATGGAGCTGCCATCCCCTGTGATAACAATGCCTTCCTCTGGATACCTCCTGAAGGACCTGCCTCAGGCTGTTCTACAATTAATTTTTTTATAGGTAGAAGGAATGCAGTCTAAAATAATGATTAAAAGTATAGCATAGTAAATACATAAACCAGTAACAGTCATTTATCATTATTGTGTTATGTACTGTACATATTGCGTGCGCTATATTTTATATGACAGGCAGTGTAGTAGGCTCGTTTACACCAGAATCACCACAAACAAGCGAGTGACATGTTGTGCTACAACGTTATGGCAGGTACTATGTCACCTAGGCAATAGGAATTTTTTCAGTTCCATTATAATTTTATGGGGCCACTCTCGTATACCGGTCTATCATCGACAGAAATGTCGTTATGCAGTACATGACTGCATATTTAATTAGAAGAAAGAACATAAATTTTGGAGTCAAAAAAATCCCAGTTCTGAATCTCAGCCTTACCTCTTAATACCTTTTCATCTTTGGGAAAGAAATGATCCCCCATAAGGTTACTGTGAGGAAAGCACCCACCACACACCGGCTCTGTGGGGCCCTTCCTCTTACACACCGGATCAGTGACAGCGGCTCGAACCACTGACAGCCTTTCTGACATTGGGAAACATGGAAATCAGAATCTCACTCTCAGCCTGCGACTAAAAAAGTTATGGTTTGTGAATATTTAAAGTATATAACTAAAAAGATATTTTTACCAAAATTACCAAATTTGAAATAAGCTTTTAGAAATATGTCCTTATTTTTAAGATAAATAGGATTTTTGCAAATGAACCTGGGAACTTCACACTTTCACTGATTTTATGCGTTGTTGAACACGTGGTTCCACGCTACATGTAATATACAAAGAAACAAGATATCGCAAGACTTACTTTATACACTGATAGTAAAAACTGTTAGAGTTTTCTGTGGCTTAAGAATTTGATGAAACTTTTAAAATTTTTGTTCCTTTTGAAATTTTGTCTATTTTATAAGTTTCAGGACAATAGATGAAAAAGCAAAAAAAATAAGTTATTTTGCTTTTGTTATTTATTTTCATCAACATTGAAGGTGAAAGCTCATTAGAAATCCAATACAGAAAAGAATCAGAAGAAATAATACAAATGTCCATCAACTTATAATTTAACTGTAATTTATTTGGTTAAATAAATTACAATAAATCTATAAAATGAAACACTGAGCAGTAGCAGAAGTGACTGTCCGGATAGAATTTTATTGTCATGGCAGTGTTTCTCCAATGCAGGGACAAAGTAGTATCAGTCATGCTGACCCACTGATGTAAAATTATAAACTATGTGTCTCTGCTTCATGCTTTTATAGCCTCTGGCAGTTTCTCCCTCTTGACACTCAAAATCCTTTATCGTTATTCTTGAATTAATATTTAATGTCCCTGCCAGGCTGTAAGCTCCAACGAGAGCAGGAAACCTATCTTTAGCCCCAGCACCTAGACCGTGTCTGACATATGAATAAATGAGTCAATAAGAATTGTTGAAGTCTAAGGAACTGAGCTTGTTCCAGACATTTCCTGATTTCTTTCTAAACTGCTGACAAGTTATCCATTTCATTACCTGTTCTAGAATTTTGCCTAGGACTAACAGCAAGCCTGGGAAACGTACCGTTTCCTGGTTTGTGTTTGCGTCCGTATTCACTTCCATTCATAGTGTCCCTCGGTAGATTGTCAGCCCTTCAAAGCCTGGGACTGTGTTTAGTTTTATTCTTTTTTTCTTCTTCTTCTTCTTCATATGATGCCTGGGATAACGTTCTGCTCAGAGTGGAGGTCTTCTGAACGACTGAACAATTTGGCACGTACAACCTCCTAAGAGAATGCATTATCAACTGGGGTTATTATAATTTAATAACAACCACAAACACTCCCCTCCACAGCCAGGCACTGTGGTTGGAGCCTTGTGTCAATCGTCTCCTTAACTCACGACATTCCTCTGGGGAGGTACTTACTACAAGCCCCATTTTACGGATGAGGCACCTGAGGCTTTAGCAAGTCTCGCGGACTTAGCACGGTCACCCAGCTGGTAAGAAAAGGAACCGAGGTTGGAGTTTTCCCGAATTCCAAGGTCCATGCTCTGAATCACCTGTGACTATCCCCTCATTCCTCCAGCAGCTGACAGAGTCCTCCTGGGACACCAACCGGGCCCAGGTGTACCATGTCCATCCTGTAGGCAATTCGGTGAACCAAGAGGAGCCCTGGGAGGACAAGGCACTAAGTTACTCTCCCAGGTTTTCGTGTTTGCTTGGACAGTTACTCTGCTGGCCCCCGGGAAAGGCAGTTTTCCGACTGCGGCCCTCGCCTCCTGCCCACGAGCAGAGCTGGGAAGCAGCAGCATGAACCCTGTGCAGGCCGGAGAGCCGGGGCAGGAAGCTTCTGGAAAAGCCCTCCCGCGCCGCGTGGCCTTTCTGAGTGGGTAAGCTCCACGGAGGGAGCGGGGTGGATGGTTCTGGATGCGGCTTTCTCCTGCAGAGGAACATCCATCTGCTCCAGTGAGTAGAAGGCGTAAGGTGGGAGAAGATTCGAGGGACGAAAAGGCCAGTGAGGGCATGGTTGTCCAAATGCCACTGCAAGGAGAGATGAGCAATATTCGGCTGTCATTACGAGAAGCTTCTGGTTGACAAATACTGTCTGGTATTCCCCTGCTGGTTTCTCGCCCTCGCACCGCAATCCCTGGTCTCTGTGGTCCACACGGCAAATGCAAATTATCTGAATCAGGCTGCGGGTGACTCACCGACTCCCCTTTAAAGCAACTTCGGGCCCAGCACGGCGGCTGCCCGGGTGGCAGCCATGGCTCGCAGACTCCGCTTCTCCTCCTGGGCACTGGTCTGCTGGCTGCTGGCGACCGTGGCGGAAGGTAAGGGCTTTGTTCTTATTCCACTGTGGTTCCACTAATTGACAAGTTGTGCGAACAGAGAGAGTCGCCGCCACGATTACACCTTCCCATAAACTGGGAATGTTGCCCTCAGCCTGCGTGGCTAACGGGAAAGGCTGGGTTTTATCGCCCAAAGACTCCGGTCCTGGTCTCAGCACTAGCTCTGCGGCTTCAGACACACTTCACCTCTCTGAGCGTCAGAGTCCTCATCTGTGATGTGACAGTGTTAACAACAGTCATTGTGGTGGGAGTGATGAGGACCAAATGAGCTACCACGTGTGGAACGACTCCGCAGGCTCAAACAGTGTACAGATCGTAGCTATTGTTAGAAAGCTAACGGTTTGCACCTTGAATTACAGCGCTGGCCACCTGCTCACAGCTCCAGCAGCTCAGTAGTTTGCACACGGTGGGTGTTTAGTCTCTGATCATTGCTTTAATGAATCACACCTGTGAGCCGTGTCTTGGCGCTACTGCGGTAAGCACAGGCTTCTTTCTTTAGGATTCTATTAGATTCAGCTTCTCCACTGTTCCTGTTCTCTTTCCTTCACCCACTACAAAACGTCCCAGTGGCCTGAGCCTGGTTTGCAAACCCCTGGGGAAAGGAAAGAAAAGGTCAGGGAAGGGAGGAGGAGGAGAGAAAGGGGAAGGAGACCCTGCGGGGCCTGCGTCTGACTTTATCTTCACAGTTCAGCTGCGTTCCAAAACCAGACGTTGCCGGGGAGGAGAGAAGCAGGGGTCAGAGAGAGCCCTTCACCCCTCACGTGCCCTGGGGCAGGGGGTAGCTCAGCCAGACGCTACTTATCCCCCCAGAGCTCACGGCAGACTGGAGAGGGGGAGAGACAGCAGAGCTGGTCCAGGGACACCCAGAGATCCTCTTATCCAACCTCCACACCAACTCTGGCCATCAGAGGATGAGGGGCATAGATCATAGACAACCACCCCCGAATCCCAGAACAAGGCCCCCTAAAAGTGGCATCTAAAAGAGGCATCATAAAACAGAACTAGCCACCTGCCACCTTCCTTCCAGAAAGGGAACCACTGTTCAAGAGGCTTTGTAACTATATAGCTAAATGAGTTATAATGAGATTAGAGATTACTTTTATCCACATCTAAATGACACCAATTGAAACGTGAGATTTGATTTTTGAACTAGGCTCTCTCTCCCCCACAACCCCTCGAAGTCCTGCACATGTAGCTTCTTTCCATCCCAGGAGCCCTGGTTCCAGTTTGTCGCTTTACTCGCACACATCTGGGTCCCCCGGACGAGGTCACGTGTGGCTCCAAACTCACCCTCTTCGCCTCTTCGCTCTCTCTTCCACGCGTCGGCTGCAGCTGTTGCTACTCCCTCTTCCTGCTTCTCTCGTGTTAGTCGCAATTCTGCTTCGAGGCACATTTAAATGCTGCTATGACATTGCCTTCACGGAGTCTTTCTTAAGACACGTAATTTTAAAATTGCAATCTTTCGTTCTGACACTTTGTTTGAATTGAATCTTTCTTTCTGCACGACCCGCTGCACACACTGCGTTCTGCTCCTATGCAGATCCACGCGCTGGTAGCAGCTTCCCACCCCCTCCCCCACCCAGCGCAGCCTGGGTCTTGCACATCTCTGCACCCGCTGCCTCGCCTGACATGGTGACCTGCACGCCGCTGAAACCACTTGACTTACAGCAAAGAACTGAAACAGGCTGTGAGTCCACAAAATGAATTGAGTTGCGGTGATTGTGACTAAATCAGTCACAGGACTTCTATGTCTTTCTGGTTCAACTCTGAAGCACGTGATGAATTTTCTAAGAGTCCACGGGCCGTGCAAGGGAAGAACTGCATATTTAAATATCAAGTGTGAAGCTTACTTCTCATAAACTCAGTATAGTTCGCTACAAGCCAGCTGTTGTCTGACCAAATAACCACAGACTACAGGTAATTATATGAAAAAAAAAAAAGGCCTTTCATCATTACCTTTTTTTTAAAGTACTTATTTTTAAAGTAGTTGGTATGCTACTAATTTCATGTCTAGACTATAATAAACCCATTTAAAATTGATATCCAAATTCTAAGCAGTAGTTTGCCTTATAGTTGCTGTTATACTCTAATTTTCAATATAAATTAATTATTGCAAATTTTCTGGGACTAGAATGAAATACTCACGAAAATATTCAGCAGCTGCCTGACCATTCATTCAATGCATCAAGTGTTTACTGAGCACCGTTGTCAGCCAGGGGGACTATTCTAGGTGCTGGGGCCACAGCCAGTGACCAACTGATACAGTTTGGCTATGTCCTCCAAACGTCATGTTGAAATTTGGACCCCAGTGTTGAAGGTAGGGCCTAAGGGAGGTGTTTGGGTCGTGGGAGCGGATTCCTCATGAATGGCTTGTTGACATCCTCGCTCTGTGAAAACTGATGACTAAAAAGAGCCTCGCTCCTCCCTCCTGTCTCTTGCCCCTTCTCTGCCCTGTGACATGCTGGCTTCCTTTCTCCTTCTTCCTGCGGCCCTCCACAAAAGCAGATGCTCGCACCATTGCTTCTTGTACAGTCTGCAGAACCAGAAGCCAAATAAACCTCTTTTGTTTATAAATTACACAGCCTCAGGTGTTCTTTATAGCAACACAAATAGACTAAGACACCAACAGAGTCAACTGTCCTCATGGAGGTCCTATTCTGATAACATCTGTACCCTTTGGTCCCATCCTTAGTGCACAAATTTTATGTGTAAATGTAACCAGATGGGCCTACGAAAATGGGGCTCATGCTAATAGAATCTTCCATAACATTTAAGATTAATAACAATAGCTAACACGTACTAAATGCATACCGCATGTCAGGAAATATATTCTGAGCACTTTACACATTTTCTTTCAGCTGAGACTTGCAACAAGCTGATGAAATAGGTAGAATCATTCTCTCCGTCTTACAATGAAGGAAAATGAGACAGGAAGAGGTTAAGGAATCCATCTACGGTCACACAGTTATTAAGTGGCAGTGCCTAGGGAGCCTGGCTCCAGAATTTCTCCTTGTAAACAACGAGCGATTCTGCCTCTCAAACTGTTTTTCATCTGCATTTAGATATTTGACCCACTTCGGTCCTGTTACTATTAAGCTTGCAGAGGAGCTCTCAGCGTTGACATTTGGTGCCACTGGTGGCATGTCAGACAGCACGTTACATAAGGGGAAATATGCGCTTATTAATATTAATCATCACACTACGCTGCAAGGTAGGAACTTGGTACCTTTTGCAATTGTGGAAACTGAGGTTTCTCCCAGTCAATTCAATTCTGCTGCAGGCACCGTGCTGGGGACGAAGAGACAGCAGGCCACAAGATGGTCACGCGGCTATTTCAGTGGAGCAGGAATGTAACCACTGAATAATAGCCACGTTACTGATGAGGACTCTGAAAGTGGACTCACAGGGAGCGAGGGAAGCTCGTTGCCAAGGGTAGGCAAGGCCTCCCTGAAAAAATGAGACTGGAAATCTCGAGAGGAGTTAGCCGGGCAGAGAGGGCAGGAAGCGGTGCTCTAGGCATCTGGAACCATCCTTTTCGAAGCCCAGGACTATCAATGACTTTTGCCAAAGTAGCTTCTGGGGAGTGGAGGAGGCAGAGACAGGGTCTAGCGGATTAAACAGGTGGCGGGGGCGGGAGGAGGAGTAGGGTCAGTAAGTGTGCAGACTTCAGAGAGAGAAAATAGGAACCAAAGAAGTCCGTGTCAGATCGCCTCGGTTTTCTTTCTGAAACAGGAAGCCAAGTCATCTATTTAGAAAGGTACAGAGAATTTCAAAGGGAATTCTTCAAATGAATGAAGAACAATGAGCATTTTGCAGGCTTTGAGTAGAGAGCAAAGGTTTAGAAGACAGCGGGAAGAGGGCAGAACAAGGATAAACAAACCATGAATGGCATCGACCTACTTACTCAGGGGTGGGGCCTTACTTAACTTTGTTAAGTTTTTTGTTTTGTTTTATTTTTATTTTTATTTTTTACTTTTTACTGTATAACTTTGTAAGATGTGACAGGTTCCCAAGTCAATCCTTATGGTCCCACATTTTAGAACAATTATGCTAGCCAACCAGTGACCTGATATAATCACCATGTGTCTAGTTTGCTGGAAGAATGTGGTTTTATGTGGGCCTGCCCACATTCTTGAGTAAGTGATTGCAGCAAGCTTCTACCTTGATCTTGAGCCATTGGAAATTTCCAGAAGAAGAGATTACCGAACACTACTGGACATTCCAGAGTCAGAGAAAACCTGCCTAGCAGAAGAGGTTCAGGTTTTAAGAAATGAGATGGACACAAGGGTGAGTGGCCAGTTGGTTTTTAACAGCTGGAGCACAGTTAACTGAGTGGCAGAGCTCAAGGCCTAGCTCAGCCTGATCTGTTAGTAAAATGTCAAGATGGGGTTTAAGAATGAGGCTACCTTCTTACCTAGAAACTGGATTCTCGGCAGAAACTTTTCCCATTATAAAGGTTCAGAACTATTCAGAAAAAAACAGTGAGTAATGTGGGATTTAATCGTCTTCTGTAGTTCAAAGTGTCTTAATCTACTTTCAATCATAGGATTTCAATACTCAGTAGCCTGCGTGAGTATGGGATAAAGGGGTGGTATTTTACTCCAGGAACAGAACCCATTCAGGCTAGCTTTAAAGAAGAGTAGAGCTGGAGGTGGTATGATTATTGTAAGGATCTCTCCAAGAATCTTAAGTACAGCCAGCCCTCAGAGGGACTAGCCCTGGACAGTCAAGAACCATCATCACTCGCATCATCACTCTGTTACCATGTGGTCTCTTTCTCTCTCTCTCTCAGAGGCCGTCCCTATTTTACTGCTGCTATGTGCATGCTGGCTTCTCTGCTTTCTCAACAATGAACCAACCAAAACCTGACACTCCAACCCCTGCTCCACACCTTCCACTAACATCTTCCACTGACTTAGTTATAATTCCCAAAGCAGAATCTGATTGGCCACTGACCAGCCAATGAAAGATTTGAGTGTCTACCAGCAGTCCAATCAGCCATAGCCAGAAGGTGTGGGGGGTTTACTGGGGAAACAGAATATCTAGAAGGGACTATGGACACAGGCAGGTGATAAGCACATCCAATACAGGCCAGAAACCTGAATTCAGCTATCCTCAAAGAGAGGGGAATCTACTTCTTTTTATGTGCATCTATACTCTCAATTTCCTGTGGGAAGTTCATTTTGCCATCAGTCACTCTGGGCAGCCCTTCCCAGGCCTGTGTTAGTACACCTCTCAGGGAGTGAAGAAATGATTTCAAAAGGACAGTTTACTAAGCCAGTTCAATTGGGTGATACAGCCAGGGGAAGACCCTGACACTTGATCTTCATCCAAATTTCTTCTCAACAAATAATCGCATGTTGTCCTCAGCACTCTTCCCTGTGGCATGTAAATGCCTCCTTCTTTCTTTCTAGGGAATTATTCCACTGCTTGGCCAGTTGAAGCAGAACTTTTCAATTAATGGCCTTTGGGAGTGGTTATTTTTATCTTCTTAATATTAATTGAGTTATTTTTTCACTGAATTTTTTTATTTAGCTATAATTTACACACAATAAAACCTACAAATCTTAAAGGTACAGTTTGATCACATTCTACATATACACACACGTGTATGTGTATAAACATACATATGTACATATGTATATGCATTTATATAGATAACTGTATATATGTGTGTATACATATGTGTATGTATAGATATCTATTATATATAACCATATCCATGTAACAACCATCCAGATCAAGATACAGAACATTTCTAAAGAGTTCCCGAGTTGCTCTTTCAACTAAATAACACCCAGCCTAACCCTAAGCTGAATATTATTTTGACTTTTTTTTTAACCATAGTATAGTTTTGCTTGTTCTTGAACTTCATATAAATGGAATCTTACAGTACGTAGTCTTTTTTTTTTTGAGACAGAGTCTCACTATGTTGCCTGGGCTAGAGTGCCGTGGCGTCATCCTAGCTCACAGCAACCTCAGACTCCTAGGCTCAAGCGATCCTCCTGCCTCAGCCTCCCGAGTAGCTGGGACGACAGGCATGCGCCACCATGCCCGGCTAGTTTTTTCTATGTATTTTTAGTTGTCCAATTAATTTCTTTCTATTTTTAGTAGAGATGGGGTCTCGCTCTTGCTCAGGCTGGTCTCGAACTCCTGAGCTCAAACAATCCGCCCGCCTCGGCCTCCCAGAGAGCTAGGATTACAGGCGTGAGCCACCGCGCACGGCCAGTACGTAGTCTTTTGTGTCTAACTTCTTTTGCTCAGCATAACATCTGTGGGATTTGTCATGGCGCTGGTGGGTGTGATTTTCATTATGCTAATGTATGTTAATGACGAAAAGGTCACCTTTGGACATGAGCCTGTGGTTTCTGTGCTTACTGGGAAAAGTCCCCAACCTCAAGTTCCTGCTGTTGCGGGTTTTGTTCTAAATGCTCATTGGCCTCCTCATTTTTGCCCCCCTCCTCTTTTCCTGTGGTTAGTGCTGCCAGCCTGCACCTGTTCCTAACAGGATTCATCCATGTTGTCGTGGGTATTAGTAGCTCTTTTTTGTCATTGCTGAATACTATTGCATTGTATAAATACACAGTTTGTTCATCCATTCACCTACTGATGGGCACTTGGATTGTTTCCAAGTTCTTGCTGTTCTGAATAAGGCTGCTATGAGCATCCTTGAACTTCCTGTAGACATAAACATTCACTTCTCTTGGGTAAATTCCCCAGATGGAAATGCTGGGTCATAGGAGGTGTCTGTGTTTCATTTTATCGAACTCGAGCAATGTTTTCACACGTGCTTCGAGACGTCTCTCATTCTCTCTTCCCATTTTTCTTCCCTGCCACCACCCCGAGTATCTATCTCCCTTCTGCTTCCGTACCAGGCCTGTGTCCTGACTTGTATTTTCCTCCCCACAGGACAGGAGGCATTCACCCCTCCCGGAGGCTCACAGAATAACGCCGACCCCACGGACTGCCAGATCTTCACACTCACCCCTCCGCCCGTCACGCGGAGTCCGGTGACAAGAGTCCAGCCCATCACAAGGACACCCAAGCCTCCCTTCCGTGTTTTCCCACCGAGAAGACCCAGAATCTACTTCAGGTTTCCAATCAGACCTTTCTTTCCTCCAAAGTGCAACCACCGTTTCCAGTTCCAGCCATTTTACTGGCCACGTGGCCACCTTCCTCCTCACAGATATGTCCCCAGAAGGACACTCCGAAGACGAAGCTCATCTGAGGAAAGCTGAAGAGAAGAGAAACCCAAACTTACTGAAGCAAAAGACGCCAATCCCTCAGAGAAGGCAAGAAAAAGATTTATTTTCTCTTTCCAAGTTAAAGCTATTTGAAAAATTTGAAGATTAAGTATCCTAAACGCCATCAGCTCGAGATTGTTCTCCTTGTCAGCAGCGAAGATGCTGGATTATAGGCTATTTATGAGTACAAAATAGGACAGTAAACATGTTATCCTTATCCTCAAATTTTTATGGTCATTAGATTTTTATGCAAATAAAATCTTTAAATGGGTGGTTCCAATAATTCCTATCCATACTGAGATACCAGAAGAATCAACTTCCTCTTCTAAGTTAAAGAGCATGTAAATAAAATGAGATCATTACAAACCAAATGAAGACACTAATGATATGCTCTTTTATACTCACTGGAAAACTTAAAGAACAAGGTACATTTACAAAGTGAACTTTTTAAAAAAATTATAAAGCTTTGCTTTAAAGCAAAAAAAGTTATAGGGAGTCTGGCTATAGATAATACGTTAAAGTTATAAACTGAATTATCTAACCCGAATAATTATTTTTTTAACTGTAGTATCTAAATTGAATTTAATGTTAACCTTTTAGACAACCAGTGCAAATTAAGTATCTCTTGATTTCTCCTATTGTCATATAGATGCTGGCTAAAGTGATATACTGCCCCTCAGTATATTAGGCTCAAAAGCTGGATTAAAAGGTTACACAGATGTTCTGGTAATTCTGGAACTTTAGAGACATAAGTTCATTCAATTTGGGGAACCTTGTATTTTCAGGGTGCAATCTGAGAGACACATCCCACAGACTGCATTCATTGGTTATTTGTTTGGCCACTGTAAAAATTCTGCCTCCTATTTACGCCACTCCTCTTGCCTGTCACATAGGCACTTTGGATTTGCATACAGGATCAGTGGCTTGCACTTGTCCCTCTCAAGAACTATGTGTAAAAATTGCTGCTGCTGCTGCTGCTGCTGCTGCAAAGAAAGAAAAAATAATAACACAAAGACAAAAGGACTCTGGGAATGGTTGCCAGGGAAAAGGAGAGATGAAATCATCATGCTGCGCTGCCTTCTTATATTAAATAATAAAAAGAGAAAAACTATTACTTACTTCATAGCAATATTCATTATAAGAACAGATATTTGCTTCAAATTTACAGGTTTAAATAAAAACCTTTTTGAAATCTTCATCAACAAACTATATTTTAGCCCTGGTGTGGTGGCTCAACACCGGTAATCCTAGCACTTTGGGAGACTGAAGGGGGAAGATCACATGAGGCCAGGAGTTCAAGACCAGCCTGAGCAAGAGTGAGACCCCGTCTCTACAAAATGTAGAAGAATCAGCCCGGCATGGTGGCTCACGCCTGTAGTCCCAGCTGCTCGGGAGGCTGAGGCAGGAGGATCGCTTGAGCCCAGGAGTTTGAGGTTGCTGTGAGCTAGGCTGACGCCACTGCACTCTAGCCGGGGCAACAAGAGTGCGACCCTGTCTAAAAAAAGAAAAGAAAAGAAACTATTGTAAAACAAACCATACCTGCTCTCTCCATTGGTCAGTAGGGACACACCAGAAAAGGGCCAACTTTGGGCAAACTTGAAGACAGATAAATGCTTGTATTTGAGTCTCACTTTTCTTTCTGACCCCCGTGCTTTGTTCTGGCGTGCTCCCTGATCACCTAGGCATCCGTGCCCTCGCAGTGCCCCGGATTGTCCCAAACCAACCTGGCTTTGACTGGGCTTTCTCTTCCCAAACATAGAATGTTTGCAATTCGAAACTTAACAGTTCTGAAATCTAGACCCTTCAGGCCTTGCTAGGCGATGTGTAAACATCAGGTAAACTAAGAGACGCTAATGATGGATTAACAGCTTCGATGCCTTAACCACTGCATCGTCCCTAGACGGCCGCTACATCTGTCGTGTTTCAGGTAGAGTGCGGGACTTTTCAAAATAACTCCAGGTACGATTGCACCGTCGCCTCCCTGGAGCATGCGCAGAGTTGCCTAATGAGAAGCAGCCCACAGCTGCAATCCAATGTATATGACGTTGTGATTTTAAAAAAAATTTGCCTCATTCCTTTGGATTAATACATTTTGCCTTTAAAAACACAAGGTTTCCTCGCAGGTTTATAGTGTTCACTCACTAATGCCTCAAAGTGAATTCGTTTCTTCCATGAGTTGCCTTGAAGGGAGACGAGCTGCTTTTGAAGCGGTAGGAGTGAGGGGACTTTTTCAGCGTTTATTTTAAGCGCTAGTCTGCCCGGCTCACCCCGAGTCCGGAAAGGCCGCTAAATGTCTAGTAAGTTGATGAACGCTGCTCTTTGTCTAGAAAAATCTATTCACTTTTCCTCCGGAACGGCCTTCTCTGAGCCGCCGCCACGTTCCTTGCGGGGCGCGCGGACCCGTCTCCCGGGTACGAGCCCTGGGTCGGGGGCGCGGGGCCGAGACCCCCTCGGCCGCCTGAGGCCACGCTTCTGGCCGTGAGTCCCCGATAAGTCGCCCTACACCAGGAACTTGACTCGTCCGCCTCCGGGCTTGGTTTCTCCGGCTCCCCGGGCATCGGGGTGGCTTTGCTCGGGCGGCCGTTCCCGGAACCAGCGAAAGCTCAGCAGGAACCGGAAGCCGGAGCGGGGACGAGGGGAAAGGACCCGCCGGGCCAGCCCCGGGGCGGCCCCGCTCCTCGGGGCGCGGCGGTGCTGCTGCCAGTTTGCTGGCGCCCGGGGGCCACCGCGTGCGGACGGGGACGCCGCCAGAACACCGGAGGGTCTGGGGTGCTTGCTCGGGGGGAGCCCGGCGACTCACGGTGGTAAGGAAAGTCCCCGAGCAGGGACAACAGTGACGGTGCCGCTGTTACGGGCTGTGCACGTGGCCACGGCAGCGCCAGTAGCGGCGGAGGTGGGCGTAGGAAAGTTAGAGGAAGAATTATAATTAAAAAGGGATATGAGTACTTCCGCCTCTGGGTTAGGGTCTGGTTTGGTGGATACGTTGTTTTTTTCTTTTAAATTCCATGGAATCGAGAAAGGCAGGTAAGCTTGAAACTCGGGAGGCAGAGTTGGCTCCTTTGCTTTGTGTGGCTGCGAGGGATAAAGTTGCAAAGCCAGACCCAAAGGAATCCATGCAGTAAGAGCCCATCTGTATGCACTTCAGGGACAGGCAGGACTCATCCGCGGTGAGAGAGGTCAGAATGATGACGACCTCTGTGGGTGACCGGGTGAGGAAAGGCAAGAGGGGACGGTGAGAGCTGGAAGTCGTCCGCATCGTGCTTGCTCTGGTTATGGGGGTGCATACATTTACAAAAATTATCAAGCTACATGCCTAAGATTTACGTATTTTACTATATGTAAGTTATATATTAATTGAAACAATGTAAACGCTGCAGTGTGGAGGAAATCAGTAAATGCATGCTAATTACAATCGTAGCTTTCATTCATCAAACAAGCATTTGAATATTCTGTTGACTGGTGGTGAACAAGATTGTGTTAAGCAGGTTTTCTCTGAATATTTTTTAGCATGTTCCAGTAAGCATTTGCCTTTCCTAACAAGGGCAAATTTAAACCAGAAATTTCTTACCAGTCTTAACCCTGTATGTGCCCTTGCTGGTCTCTCTGTGTATTCTATATGTACCCAATATGTATTCTTAGTATCTTGTTTGTTATTTGCAGAGGTTTTTGTCTGTTTTGTTTGCTCCTTTATCCCCAGGACTTAGAACAATGTCTGCCCACAGCGGGGACGCAATAAATATTTGTCAAATAGATGAATTTTAAACCTCCTGATATTTAACCCTATTTGCCTTCAAATCAATTCACACATATCAGAGGAAGTCTTGAGATTTAAAAATCTCCACCCAGGAATAAAAAGAACTGTTGATGAGGGAAAGATAATGCACACACATCCCTCGTGGCCACTGGGGCATGCTTTCAATCTCCTTTCTGAAATTTGAAAATGAATCTCTTTTAAAATAAATTCTCTGTTTTGCTGCAAACACAATTTCTCTCTTTCAGTTGTTTGTTGAAGAATAGGTTGGAATGGTAACCAGAGACCCTACAATTTAATTGCCCACTTAATTTTGTAATTTTTTTCAGACTTTTATAACCAGAACCTGTCATTCTTTTTTTTTTTTTAATCCGAATCCAATTTTCTTTGTAAAATCCCTCCTCCAAGACCATGTCCAGACACATAGGTTTCCCGGGAAGACCAATTATTTGAGATGGCTCTTCCAACTGTTATTTTTCAAGTATCAGTTCAATAGGCACAGAGAAAATGATTTTCTGCCAACAAAATTTATTTACTTCCTGGCTTATGTTCTAAATAAAAGGTTTATTACATGTTCTGCACATAAGTAAATATTTTAACTTCCTTAAAAATATCTTTCCCAGTTTCCTTCAACTGGAGGATTACATGCCCATCTTCACTCATACAGATTTCACACAGTCATAGCCATAAAAATTTGCTCAAAATGTGTTTTAAAGTTCTTCTGTTTCCATATAGGCAACATAGTTTTCCTTTTCCATAGTCCTTCTTCATTTTTCTTTGGGGATTTTTTTCAAATCAACATGTTGAGAGGTATATTAAGGGTTTCAATTTTAGACACAAAATAGATGACTTATCTCCCCTAGAGAACATAATGCCCTGCACGTTTTCAAATTCAGGATTTCAGTGGCCTGACAGCTGACTTAGCACACATTCTAGCTGACTGCCGTCCAGGTGGGAAATGTGTCTGGGGTCGCACTGTGTCGCCTCCCTGTGCTGCATTCCAAATACAATCCAGAAAGAAAGCCAGCGCCAGCACACACTCATGTTCAAATTTCCATTCATTGTGAGGATCAACTTACATTTCGCTGCTTACATAGAAATCACACTTGAAAACTACCTTTCCAGTTAATTCCAAAGATGTTCAGAGCCTTTATTCGATTGGCAGTCTTGGAGGTGGCCTAATCAGACTGCGCGCCACTCTGCCTTTACCCATCTGCCCACATTTCATTTCATGAGGCAAATT